CTCCACAGAAGAACGTTTCAGGCAGAGTGACCATCGGGTTATTTATCACCTCCCTGACTATGGCCCTTCTCCCCCGATCACTCAACTTAGATGGCCGGCCAGCTCTAAGAAGAGTTCTGGTAGTTCCAAACATATCTTTCAATTACGGATGATGGAGGCCACTGTGCTCATTGGAACTATCAGACATCAGAAATTTTTCTGTAACATTCTCCATCCTTGTGCCTCGAGACAATCCTCTGTCAGATGTCTACAGACAATCCCTTTGTCTTCACGCTTGGTTTGTGCTTTGACATGCACTGTGAACCCTGAGACCTTATATAGACTGGTGTATGCCTTTACTACAGGTGATCTCCAGTTAAGATTCTGGAACATCTCAAGAATGATCAGTGAAAACAATGTACCTGAGCTCAATTTATAGCTGCAGTGATTTAAAGGCGGTGATTACTTATGTGCATGTGATTTTTCAGGTTTTTTATTTTTAATAATTTTGCAACAATTTCAGAAAAGTCTTTTTTCCCTTGTCATTATATGGTATTGTGTGCAGAATTTTGAGGAAATAAATAAATTGAATCCATTTTGGAATAAGGCTGTAACAAAAAAATGTGGAAAAAGTGAAGTGCTCTAAATACTTTCTGGATGCACTGTATGGGACAGTTCACGTCACATCAAAAAAACATGTGGAAAGTGCTATCTATTTGCGCACTTGCTGCTCGTCAACATTTAAATAATTAACTTGTTTGCAAAAGATACAATATGTGTACGGCCAGTACATCTTTCTTTTTCAAGTGACAATGATCACAACTTTCTGGTGTACAAAACGACTACAAAGTAGTACTGTTGACAGTGAAAACGCAAGCATAATCAGAGTGTCCTGTACTACAGCATACCATACGCGCGAAGTGGAAATGGGCCACTAGATTTCACATATGGTAACTTAATTGGATTACATTTAGATTACTTTTATGCTACTGTAATGGAGCAAAGAAGTGTGTTGAATTAATGCCTAAATGGGGACATTGCTTTGGAAGTGGTCATTTTCTTTATGAACCAGCAACTATTTACACGCACTGTCTGTCTCCATTGTACAGTGTGCAGTAAAAAGACAGCCCAGGCAAGACCGTCACATTGCTGCAGCAACCCCGGTTCAAATCCAGGTCACGGCACCAATGTGACGCACACTCTAAAGGGCGCTGTCCCCACTGAGGCATTAATTTAATAGACTTCTTTGCTCCGTTACACTACACCTATTTGATGTTACATAACAGCAATATTACATAAACCAATTTCAAAAAACATTATATTCACAGCAATATCACCGCTACAGCAAATATTTAATGTAAAAATGATCTAAAAGTATCAATGACATCAAATAATAGCCACATTTAAATTACAAGTGGCAGATTTATTATTAAAAATATAAAAAAAAGGGAAAATCAGGAGAATTGATGAATTACAAACAACATACTGCCATTGTGTAAATAATATGCAATCATATAATCCATAGAAAGTTACTGTAGATTAATTACAAGTATTTTAAAAAGTAGTTTACTCTTAATTACAGTCAAGCAAAATCACTCAAGCAAGAGGCCTGTTTACCTGACTATTAATATGTCAGAGTTATCAGTATTTACAAGAAGTGAATTGTGAGTGTTAATTGAATAATTGAAGAGTTATTTTAGATTTTTTTTTTAACGAAATGCAGAACATTTGTCTCATGTTTGAAATCCAATGTTAGCACAGAGTACCAGGATTACAAAATGGCAAATGTAGTATGCACCCAAATTGCATTCATACAAGACAAACTCTTAAATACACAAGTACATTTTTAGAGGTTGTAATTATGTGTAGCTACTTACTCAAGTGTGTCTGATTTACTTACTCTCAAGTGGTTCAAATCCCCTTATGAGTTTTTTTCTTGAACACTTAAGAATGTTTTAAGAAGCTTGGAAATTGGTACCCTTTGACAACCATTGCATGAAAAATTAATGTATGGATAGCTGTTTCCAAACCAAAGAAAAAAACCAAAAAGAAACTTGGAAGTGGAGGGTCTGACAGAATGATCATGACAAAATTTTCATTTTTAGGTGAACTACCCCTTAAATCAAGGACTTGCTGCCCCCTTCTGTTAGTTTAAAACAACAGCAAAAAAAAAAACAAAAAAAACAAAACACAAGTCGTTCTTTTTCCAGGTAACCAAACACTATAACAAGGACCAAGGTTTCCCAAACCTTTGCAAAGGATTATTGTAATGTCAGTTACGTTTTTTTTAACTACAGTATGTAAACTTCTGTTATGCAAGATATCTAACTCAAGACAAACAAAAAACTACATGCAATTCACACTTAGCTGATGCTTGATAAGATAAATCCGTATTTGGCAAGCTGTCCCAGGAGAAAGCCCTGAGTCTCCCCTCACAAAGATGACTGCGGTAAGGTGAGCAGACTACTATATTTATGTGCGTTTGAATTCATCTGATTGGTTGGTCATGTGATTGATGATTAATAATGCGAGACCAGCCATGGTCAATCATCTGCATGTGATCCTCTCAAATTGTTTATAAAAACACCTAAATTCACACTTTCAGTTTCTGCAAGAGGTTGCCAAGCTTACATAACAGTGAATATTTTTCTGGCAGTAGCACACGGTACTGATCATCACAGTTGCCTAGAAAACAAAGAAAAGAAGAAAAAAAATATTGGATTTGATTGAAAATTGAGGGCCAGTTTCTTAGCAGAAAATGACATTTTATAAAATAAAGTAAATTTAAAAAAAAGCATCCGTCCACTGTGGCTTTATGTATAATTGCTAGTCCATTCAGCTTGATGCTTTGGTGGCCATGGTGCACTGCCACAGGTTGATAATCTAGTCCTGTTTGTCACACTTTTAAAAAAAGATTCTAAATGCCAATTTTGGCTTCCCAAAAATCTTTTATCAAACATTTCTTAAAATAACCTTTTTTCCTGGTGTGAAGAACATTTAAATATTTATAAGAATCGTTATTACTTTAAAGGGTCACAAAACACTAAAACACATTTTTTGAGATGTTGACAGTCACGTTAAAAACACCATGCATTAGGACACATATTTCACTAAAAAGGGAAAATTAGCTGTTTTTGCGTTGTTTACAGCAAATTCGTTCTCCAGGTTTAACAAGAAATTTTGAAGCTACATCACGGCTATGAGGCCATTGTGTAAATTCCAGTATGGAGATTGGCTGTCTGTACCGGCCGGTACAAAGTGACTTTATTGAGTTTTCAGCACATCTGTGAGAAAGACTCGGTTCGAACCAATTAGCACACTCTATAGTGAACGAGATGCAGCTTCATCAATATGTATGATATACCTTCAAAGACTCATTTTACCTGTTAGGCCGCATTTACACTGGACTATTCAAGTGACTCAATTCCAATTTGTTTCTCCCATGTGGCAGAGATAGGATATGGCCCATGTACGTGTAAGCAGGAACAAATCACATGGATTCCAATTTACTCAAATCAGATTCAGGCCTTGTTCATAAGTGGAAACTTATCCGATATTAATGATCAGTGTTCTCGTGTCTGCAGTGTAAGCAGGTATATCGGATTTTCACCTGACAATGAGAGTCGCGCGTCATTAAAAACCATAGCGAATGATGTCAAGTCTGACACTTTCCTTTCAGAACAGACTTCAGCAGAGTTCCAAACCTTAAATCTCATTCACGAGGACTTAAACAGCTTTAATATTGTCATATAGCACAGGTATTTAAGCATGTTAATGAGAGCTAGTGCATAGATCACGTGCATAAATCACATCATGGACATTACATTAAGATGCCTAAAGGTTTAAAAAGCCTATATATCAAAAGAAGATGGACAAATGAGAACTTTTCTGTCATAAACTATAGTAAAACAGCTTGTCAAAAGCTGCAAACAGATTACATACAGAAATAGAAAAAAAGAGCACTCTAATTATCAGCTGTTAGTCAGCGCCCGCTCTTTTTTTTTTTTTTTTTCCTGGACATTGCGCCTTTGCCGTGAGCTGTGTAAATGCAAACGATCGGATACGAGTCACTTTTAAAGATGTAAGCAGGTCATCAAAAAAATTGGATTTCAGTCACAAAATCGGAATTGACCATCAAGATCTGCAGTGTAAATGCAGCCTTACAGTGTTCAGTAAGACGGCATGTTGTGTTGCCAGCCATAACTCAAACAAGTAGTAAAAGAATTGTAAGAGACATGGGTAATTAGTGTTGCATTTATAAATGTGCTGCAACTAATGTTTTGTCTCCATTTCCCTGTGATGAGAGCACAGCTCGCATGTGGACCCACATGTGTGGATTACAGTGGTCTGCTAACATGCGACAAACATGTTTAAGGAACATTTTTTTTTCCGAGAGCTTTTCAAAAGTGGAAATGATTCCAGTTGGTGTTGATTGTCCTTTCTCTACGAGTTTGGTAAGTGTGTGATTAATGTTTTTTGTTTATGTTTATTCAGAAGGCAAAGTTAGTATCATCAACAGTACTCAGTTTTTAAAGACATACCTTAGTCAAAGTGAAGTTTACAGTAATATCACAACAATACGTCTGTGTTTGTTTTGCTGCTTTAGTGCATGTACTGAAACTCCCCTTTTTATGCAAACCCTTCCCTCTTTTGCCACTCAACCCTCCCACTTAAAGGGGGGTAGGGTTCACGGCTCTTAAAGATCCTGAGATAGATGTTAAAGGGTTTTCCATCAATTCCAAAAAAGAACATTTATTTTAAAGAGTAAATTTAGGAGCAGTCAGAATAAGAAGTACAAGTCAAACCAAACCAGCATGCAATTCACACCAGTAATAAAAATTATTTTGCCTTTAGTAGCATCCATAATAGTGGACAATAATGTATTGTTTAATGTAAACCCTCAAGCCTTCAAGTTGGAATTAAGGCTTTTGATTGGTAGCCAAAGTTAGTATATGAGATTTTTTTAAAGAATTTACATAATCACCAACATTATCATATTTCGTTCAAACCCAGTCACCTTCCACAAGTCATTTCTTTATTTAAATCCTTTGAATTCACATTATTACACTGAAATATCCACTGCCTCAAATCAAACAACAACAACAACAACAACAACAACAAAAGAAACATTAATATGTATATATATATTTGATAACTATCTATCTAAAAAGAGAGAATGCACTGAATATTATAAAGTACACTGCATAGTAAACAAAGAGAAATCCTCAAATACAACCTTTTTTTAAATTCTAAATCTTTGGTAAAGGGAAAACAAATACTCGATAGAAAGAAAAATACTGTACTCTACTTTCCCACCCCGTGTGGTTCTTTGTTGGCCCATAAAAAACAATTCACATTAAGGAGATAAAAAGAGCAACAGGACAGAAAAAGCAACAGATTGACACACAGAAAAGCATAAAGTAAACGTCACTGGGTATTGGAAGACACAATTCATCAAAACAAAAACACTTTAGTTTTGATGGAGATTGTCACGCAGATTTCCCTAAAACATTATCATCAGCATTCAGATTTGTGGCTCACGGGATAAATTTTGGAGTTATTAGATAAAACCCATCCACATAAGCCCATAACGTGAGCAAATAGACTACCGGTCAAAAGAAATCAGAGAAAATGTGTTTTAAAAGGAGGCCTATTGTGCTCACCAAATCTGCATTATTTTGATCAAAAATAGTCAAATCATTAAACACTGTTTAAACATTTTTAATTATTATTGCTGTTTTAAATTCCTATTAAATGCATATCAAAATTCCTGTGATTCAGAGCTCAGTTTTCAGCATCATTACTCTCATTTGATCCTTCAGAAAGAGTTTCTTTTCTATTATAAATGGTATTAATTATTAATAATAATTATTAAAATAATAATCAGTTGAAACCTTTTTTCCTGCTTCAGTTTTCCCCCTTTTTTAGGATTTTTTTGATGAAAAGTTCAAAAATCATTTAAATTATTCCTGTGGTTTAAAATTTACATGTATTAGGAATTAAAATCTAGATTATACACTATAAATGTACATTAAAGTTGTCCTTGATAAATAAATGTATTTTAATAGTACTTCTGAATAGTTTCACATAATAGTTTCCACAAAAACATGAAGCAGCCCAACAGTTTTCAACACTGAAAATAATAATATGTTAAAGCAGATCATCATATCAGAATGATCACTGTAGGATTACGACACTAACGTTTCAGTAATGATGCTAAAAATTGAGTTTGCAAATCATAGGTATTTATTTAATTCTAAACCACATTCAATAAAAAAAACTATTTCACAATGTTACTTTTTTTTCTTTATTTTTGCTCAAATTAAAAGCAACCTTATGAGCAGAATAGGCGTCTTTTTAAAACAATTTCTACAGATCCCAAAATTTTGACCATTACACATATAAATATATTGGGCTTCTGTGTGTTTTCAGATCACTCAGAGAGAGCAATGGCTAGAGTTTTGTGACAGGGCAACACATATCAGGATCAACCCCCGAAGGCACAAAATAAGTAATCTCACAACCGATCGATCAGATGGAGCTCCACCATCAGCACCTCGCAGTCTGCCATTCTCCACAACAGCACCATGATTTACATCTCCATCACTACAACCAGCTTCCAGCAAGTCAACTGTAAGGCCTTTTTAAAACATGTGACATGAAAAAGCATGAACAGAACATTTAGAGGTCCGTGTCTCTACCCCTGGTCAGAAATTGTAATACTTCATAAACAGTTTGACTCGCGTTTAATGTCATATATCCCAACAGGTCATCCTGACTGCGAATGTTGTCTTGTTGACAGATAAGATCCGAGTCAACTTTGAATCGCTGACGCCTCTGACAAAAAGTACCTTCGGGCTCTTGTGATTCAATCAGATTTGTCCTTCTTCTTGCCTCCGCCGATGGGCACTTTACTGACTACAGCTGACCCGACAGCGGTGACGCCGCCAGCCACTGCAGACACGCCACCCTTCACCAGGCCTACTCCCATCGCCGGCACTGACGCCACTGAGGTAACTGCAGTTTTAGTCAGATCAAAGCTTTTTCCTCCGACCCAGGCCACTCCACCCACTGTAGCCCCAACAGCGCCCTTTGTCACACTGAACAGCCCACCGGCCACCCTGGAGAACATGCCAGGCTGAGGCTGGGGATGGTCTTTGTTGGCATCTGCAGGAGATCAAAATGAAGTGTTAATAGAGAAACTATCAGCAGATGGGATACAAAAAAGAATGTGGATGAAACTAAATATGCTACAGAAAAATGTAATACTATAAGATAATAGATTAGATTTTTATTATTTATTAGATTATATCATAATTTCAATAGAATAGATGTTTTATTTGTCAAGGCAAGTTTTAATTGTTAGTAAAAGTGTTAAATATTAATGGCATGTCATTACTGAAGATACGAATGATGATGATATGTACAGGGAACGTCGAAAGTTATATGCTCCAGCAAATATGCTGGTGAGAAAGTTGTGTTTGGAGCGAGGTAAGACAAACCTTTTTTTAGAACTTATTCCAGTTCTTTATACTTTATAATTTAAAAGAAAAGAGAGTCTCCATAAAATGCAGGTTGCATACAATAATGTATGAGGATTCTTCTTAAACAGTATAGATGGTGTGATGCAAGTGAATTATTCTTTAAGGTAAGAGTTCGATCATTTTTTGCTTTGATGAGAAATTTGACCTACAAGTTTATCTTTCAATTAGAGAATTCTCAGAAAAGCATTTTAACGTTCAGCAAAAATCAGTACAAGTACAAGTTTTTTCATCTTTTTTCAAGTGCCTTGGACTGATTTTTGCTGTTTATTCTGATGAATCCCTTACCCAAAGAGCACCGACACATTATTTAAGCTACCCCTGAGCACTATTTGTTTGATTTACCATTGATAAATCCTAGGCTAACTGAGGTGAGTTATCAGCAGGACCAGACAGAATCTGCGGATGTTTTTTGCTATTTCTGCAGAGAATTTTGGTAAAAATCTGCGGATTTCTGTGGAATTATTTTGGGAGTGTTATAACTAAAACCTTAATATATGAAATAAAACAAAATATCTTTTTAACTTTTATTTAATGTTTAAAATGCAAATCCAATTAGATTCACTTTATTTGGTGAACAAAGCAAGTCTCTCATATAATATCTCTACTAAAAGACAGAAAATATGACTGTACAAACTGCATTGTACATAAACCTGACAAACATTTTCATATTAGTCAATAATATTACTTAAATCATAAAAAAAATTGAACAAATACAGATTTACAAACATTTACTACAGTAAATAAACAAATAATGATGGGCTAAAAATCTGTGGAATTCTGTGCACGCAGATTCTGTGTGGGCCTAGTTATCAGTCACCTTTGATAAAATATTGGCATTACTGTCTGTTTTACATGTATGTTGTTTAGTTTGTATTGTTTTTGTATTATTGGACCTAGTGTCTGGAATAAAGAGAAGATGGAGTGGCCTAGTGTATATTACAATACAAAAACCTTGTAATAAACTGCCAGTACATTTTCGGTTATTTTTACAGACCTATTGATTTTTCAGGGATATTATTCCTCTATATATTATTTCTTTCTATTTTCAAACTACTAAAATGCCAGTAGAAGTAACACTGTAGAGTTTAACAGAGCAGTGATGAAGTTCCCATAACACAATTCACATCCATAAATAAACAGAAAACACTTGTGCATCCCAAAGATTGGAAATTGTTAATCAAGAGCTATTTTTTTCCAGTGTAGATGGGACAATAAAGCAGATGATATAACATCAACAGCATAGGGTATGGATGGAACGATAATCAGATCTAGCAAGAATTACCCAATAAGACTAGAAATTATAGGGCAGCTGCCTAGAGTCCGCATTGGATTGTGCAATAGCTCCACTATGTGGCACACAGCGTTTTCATTCTCTTGCATGAAGATGTACAAAGGACAGCTGTATAAAATGATTCATCTAGCATGACTATACCAAAATAACAAGCTTAGTTGTATAAATATAACGGCGGTAATCCAATCTCACACTGAAAATTCACCATAACTATACAGTAGCATTACCTGCTGGAGGTTCATCATTCAAGTATGCAGGCAAGTCATCCCGCTGCTGGTTTGTTTCACTCATTTTTAACCTGAAAATGAAAAAAATAAAAATAATGAATAAAATGTGACAGTGACAGTTTGACTCCTTTTCCCCAGTAGAAATTGTAAAATGTTTTCCATGGAGAATCTGGGTGGGGCCAGACACCACAAACAAGGTGAAAGGTTAGAATTAAATGTGAGCTTCAACCCAACAAGGCGGACCAGTTTACTCTCTCAACAAAATGTAACTTGCAACACCCTGTCAACATTACAGCTGGCAGACTGAACTATTTATTGCATATAGGAACTTAAATACCAAAATGGTTTGAAATTATAATATTGCAATTAAAGTTCTTTTTTTCATATTAACACGAGTAAAAAAAAAAAGAAAAGAAGTCTTAATTAAATATTAACTTGACTCACATATCCATAAGTCATACTTAAAGGGACATTAACTCGAAGATAACTAAAAGATAAAGCTCATTGAACAGTTTATTATTACGTGTTCATTTACACGCAAGCAATTCTTGAATCAGTGGGCGTTGATCTCCGCTCAACTTTATGATGTAACAATTGCAACAAGTGCATCATGATAGTAAGTCTGTCCTAAAATGACCTATAGGCAAGTCTGATGTCATCCAATCTGTTCTTTGGCATTTAGATGAATCTTTTTTTAAAGAAAATGATTCATGATTCTTTTTTCGTCTTGACCCAATTACATGACTCAATGTCCTATTTATTGTTATAGAAGAAATATAGTCATTTGATCTATATTAGTTCAGTCTGCTGCCATCATGATTCATAATATTAATATACACTGTATTTACAATAAACAGTTGGATTATGTACTCTATGATGTCAAATAGGACTGCACAGTATATAGTTTCAGCATCGAGATCGCAATGTGCAAATCAGCAATAGTCAGAATCGTAGGATCTGCAGTTATGTTGGGATTAATAATACTTGACCTAATCTATTGGTTCTAATAAAATACCTTCATTTTAATGTATTTTTAAGCCTTGTGATTGTAAGATTTCAAGCGAATTTAAACCATTTCTTGGGCATAAGGAATTCTAAAGTTTGTCACTTTAACAAAGATTAATTGTAAAGTATAAACTATAGTGTTAAAAAAAAACATGTTATTATTGTGTTTCTCAACCTTAATGCTGTTAGACTTTACCAAAAACTAAGCGCTGTTTATTTCATTTATATTCTATTTTCATCTGTGCTTCATTTTATTTCGTACATGTTTGTATATTTTATGCATATGCACACCACATAAAGTTACAAGAGTCCATCTTGTGAAACTAATCAAATTGCAATATATATCGCAAACCAAAATATCGCAATGTCAGTTTTTCCCCAATATCATGTAGCTCTAATGTGAAATGTTGTGCATTTTTAAATAATATTATTAGTTAAAATGTAATAGCAAGTTTCCATTGTTTTATTTGTAATAATAGCCTGTTTATACTTGTATAATAACTTAAACTGTTTCAGTGAATGGAGAAGCTTACTATTTATTTAGCACTTCGGTGAAAGAGATGGCTGTGTGTCAAGCCAAACTGGTAAATACACGTAACTGTTAAAGTAGTGAGCTCTCTAGAGATGGTTACACAGTGGACAAGAGCTGTCTAGGACAACACACTAGGTATCGCACACATATGTTACATAAAGTTCACATCAGCAGTCCAAAAGCAGTAATAGAACCACCAATCTAATTTAAACTCAGGATTTGAACAAAGTTGTGTTAGTTTAAAGTGAATGAAAACAATTTCTACAATATTTGAGCTCTCTGTATGAAGCAAATAGACTTTTAAAAAGTAAAAAAAGAAAAGAAAAAAAAATCAGCATCCTGCCACTTTAGCTCTCAAACACAAATTTATGACAATGTTTAAACCTACATAGTCTTGATCAGGTCACGGTGTAGGCTGAAATGTTTTCATATTAAATTTGTTTTTGAGAGCTAAAGTGGCAGGGTGCCGATTTTCTTACTTTTTCAACTGTGTCTGGCTTGATCGAGCACCTGCCTTTAGGAATCATTTGGATGTGCACACAATGATGTTTTAGAGCATATAGACTTTGAGCCACAGAAAAACAAATGTTTATTTTATGATATAATAAAAAAGTAACATACACAATCTTAAAACCTAGTGTTTCGTTAAGTCATTAGGTACATGAACAATAATATGTGATAAATATAATCCCAGCAAACAAAAAACATTGCCAAAACATTCCCATATGGTTTCCTTTAGTTCTCATTTGGGCAGCATTGAAACTGAGGTAAAGTTGGTTTTATATTCGCACATTTGTTCATTTTAATGTTCCTATATTGTCTATACGCTAATTTTAATATTCGTTCTGAAATCACATTAAGTATTACTTCAAAACAACATTAGCACTATTTAATTCACTGTGAACAGTGTTAATAAGTTAGTCATTGGCTGCTAATATGATTTCCCCATTTAGAATTTTTCAAATAATACTTATATTATAAGGGAGGAAGTCCAAATGTGCAAATTTAAACCAACTTTACCTCAATATGTTTGGAAAACAAATAAGAACATTCTCTGAAGCCATTAACCTTTACAGAACATTATTGCCGGCAGGGATTTTTTTTATTTTAAGCAATAACTTAAGTTAAACTTACAAGAACATTCCAGAAGCATGCTCCTCACCTACAGGCAATGTTATCATTAAGCTCAACCTCCTAGCAAACTAACAGAGAACTTACTAGAAATGTTTAGCTCGGATGTAAGCTAATTCTGCTTGCCATACATTTGTCAGCTCAGGTTGTAGTTACATTGAGAATCGCTCGGAGTCGGAATGATTCGGGAATCGTTGAAAAAAGTTAAAAGATTCGTTGAAAATGACTCGAAAGAATGACTCTTGAATCGAACTTCAATGTATAACCATTGCTGTTTCTTGAATTGAATCTTACGTGGCGCTTTTGTGATAACTTAGGCATTTTACTTTATTTTACACTAAAACTGTAGGTTTATGTTGAGAAACAATTTGTCAAGAAATTGTATACCCTTAGTCACATAATGAAGATGCCAATATGTTATGTGGAGAAACTTTTGACAGGTAAAAGTAGCAGAAACAAATCTATATTTGAAGAAAGAGACAAAAACAGGGCGGCAGCGAATCAAACAACAGTTAAATGACGTTAGGTAAGAGATGCATTACAATCCAGCCATTGTCTATCAAGTCGATAAAGCTCATCGTAAAATATCATATGAAACATCAACAGACCTCGAATAACATGCAAGCGAAAAACTTTGCCAGCTGTGCTGTAAATACTTACTGTGTCTGAAGTCTGTTGCTTTAAACTTGAGCAAATCAAGCTGAAAACTTTTGTCTCCACCCCTTGTTTGTTACCAAAAAAGTGCTGTTGCTTTCGGCGATTCTTAATGGCACACGCTAAAATAACGATGGATATGAGACCTGACGACACTTTTCTTTTAAAGACCTATCTTTGCATAATGTGTACGTGGCGTCCTAGCTGTTTTTAACCACGTACTAGTGTGGACACATCGGAGAGGAAGTGACGTTTCTTGTTCTTACCCTCCGCTTTGTGATGTGACTTCACTATATTTGCCAGTGTGGAGTGGAGGCCTTCCATAAGAAGATAATATGAAGCGTCTTTCTGTGCTGATGTGTCCATGATTTTACTTTCGAGATCAACTAACTTGTTCTTGTGAGACAGAGCCTATATATGTGGATTTATTTATTGCTAAATTAATAACTGAAAGTGTAACCTGATGCTGCACTGAACTGAGTGAACTTGAAGGAATTTTTCTGCAGGGCTTGTTAATATTTTTCACAAGTAGTTACACCTGTATATTGCTTTCTGCTGTGTTGCAATGCTAAATGAAAGTCCATAAACTAATGCTCTGAAACAGGCCTGTAGCCAGAGGGGTTTCGGGTGGTTCGGAAAACCCACCCGCCTTCTGATAAAGTCCAGAATTTGGCCCCATATAAGCTAATTTGTCCCATTTTTAGCAGTATGTCATCATAAATTTTGAAAATAACCAATTGAAGATGTCTTTAAGAAGAATAATCTCACTGTAAAAAATCCTTGTTGCCTTAAATTTTTAATATATATTTATATATAACCCCAGGCCCGTAGCCAGCCTGGTGAAAAGGGTTGGTTCTTTTTTCTCAAAAGACTGGACCTTTTTGCAGTTATTCACCTTATTTTTTTTAATTATGAGGTATAATTACTGCGTTTTAGTGACATTTTAAGCACTATTTTTAGCTGGATTTGCCTGTCAGATGGTCATCATTGCCACACTTTTTGAGGTACCAAAAACATTTGCTTAATATTTAAAAATATGAAAAATTATTATTTAAAAAAACACCAATTTATTACATCATATATCATCTGGAAAAAATGAGTCTGTTAAAGTTTAAAATAAAATAAAAACTGTAGCCTATTGTCATTTATTGGGCAAATAACAAACTGGCCAGCACATTCAACTTTCCTCAGTCAGAATTTGGCCATCTGAATAACAAAGAATTAAAAGATTCCTTCATTTTCTTTTCGGCTTAGTCCCTTCATTAATCTGGGGTCGCCACAGCGGAATAAAACGTTATCCAGCATATGTTTCACACAGCGGATGCCCTTCCAGCTGCAACCCATCACTGGGAAAATTAAAACATTAATATTAATAATGCAGAGCTTCTTGATTTTTCTAGTCTTTTTTGTTAAAATAGTATATTTTAAAAGTTCATGGATAACAGAAATAGTTTAATTAGTAATAACTTTAACATGAGATGCTTTTGTATAAATAAAAGTTTCCTGTTCTAAAGATGACTTTATACGTCAAATTCTCCGTTATTTTATTTTATTTTATTTTTTTGCACAACTGGACATTGGACTATAATTGTTTGCATTTATTGGAAGTCTCTTTTAATGCCTTCACAATTAATGATTGCATAGCAGTCAGAATAAAACAAATGAGCTCATGTGTGGGACAAACTCTGGACCTTTTATCAGTGAGTGGTGAGTTTTTCAAACCACCAGATTAACCCCCCACCCCACCCATAACCCCACCCCACCCCTGGCTACAGGCCAGTTTTTGCTGTTATTCTCCCAATTTTCTATTAAATTATGAGGTTCGAATACTGCATTTTAGAGATATTTTTAACATTAATATTTGCTGCATTAGCTTGTTGGATGATGATCATGACCACATATGTTGATGCAACACAAAAATATTTCCTGCAATTTTGTCAAAGTGCTTGCCATAAATAAAACACAAAGTGTTTATGTAGAAATGTGTGTTTAAACTGGGATTTATTACAGTTTTATAAGTAATGTTATAAGATTAAAACTTGAAATATTTTAAATAAAATCTGAAAAAATGCTTATTTTTAAAATACAAATTTATTAGTATTAGTATTAACAAAAACAATTAGGAATATTTTAAAACTCATTAAAACCAACTAAAAACATATAAAAAACTGTAGCCTGTAGATAAATAACAAACTGGGCAGTTGTTACATGTCGCCTTTAATTTCATTGCATGTTGTGTGACTATTTTTAACATTTGTAGGCATAAACTTTAGAAATTTTAATGTTATTAAGTTAATCACAGTAACTCTAGTAGGTTAGAATGAAAACCCTAAAACATTGCATGTAACATGAATTTAATTATTATTTTTTTTGCACAGAAACCATAGGTCCGGCGATCAGTGTTCATTTGTAGGAGAGGCTTGTGTGTTGTTGGTAAAAAAAATAAAAATAAATGGGTTTATCTAACCCCATTACTTTGTTTATTATTTGGTCACATCCAAAAAGTATTACTTTGTGCCCCACTCTCCCCTATGTCCATAAGCAAAACAAAACAAACAATTTACAATTTTTTACATGTTGTGTGACTGTTTTGAACAGGCATTTAAACAATTCTAATTGTAATGTTATTAATCACAGTAACTTCAGTAGGCTAGAATGAAAACCCCCAAACTAGGCCTATAGACCATTTCAAAGTGGTCATGTCATTGACCCAAGAACATTTCTGCTTGTTGTCAATCTATTTCATAACTGTAACAAGAGGCAATTCAATCAACTTAATATTAAAAATCTATCACAACATTTTTTATCAATAAGTGACTCTTTTTAGATTTTCGGAACCTATGAAAATTAAAAATGTAAAACAGAAAATATGTTGGGACCATTGTTGTTGTTTACACGCATGTAGTAATATATATATATATATATATATATATATATATATATATATATATATATATATATATATATATATATTACAAATTAAACCAGCAGTCCTCATTGGCTGTTGATCCGCAGCAGCTGTCACAGGGGTGTTTTCCCGCTCTAATTCATAAAGTGACGTACTTCCTGTATTGTCACACAGCTTCTAATGTCTTGCGGGAACGCTGGTCTTGTACAGATTCAAACATGACATTTATCTAGCGTTAGATGTCGCCTACATTTTCCTTTAACTGACGGTTTGCTGTGGTGAGGGATTTCATCGGTGCCCTTTGCTCGTTTTGACGGTCTTCCCTTCATCCCTAGTCGGGTAAACAAATACAGGCAAGTAACAATTTACATAGTTTTAGGATTCACTTAACATTTGAAAAGCAAATTGTAGGTTTTTATTCAAAACTAGAGACTCTCGTTTTCTGAATGGCACGTTTTGAGCATTAACATTGGGCAGTTTTGTTATGATGAGCTCGTGTGTTTGATGCAGCAGTTCCACAGAATCTGATACAGTGTTTACTTGAAACTCATACAGTAACGTTAGTCTGTACAGTAGGCTGTACGCGAATAAATGTGCAGAATATTGCGTAACAGAGCGGCATGGACGAGTGTTACCTTATAAACATGGAGAAACACCCCAGGTGTTTTTTCATCTTCATTTGCACAGATATTTTGCTTATTGAGTTTTCTGTACAGTGCCTATGGAAGATCATCATATCCTGTGAAAATCTATACCTTTACTCACATTACACCCAGCTTTAAAAGTAAATGTAAAGTTGGTTTTATATCCGCACATTCAGGCATTCTCATTAATAATACAGTTTCAGAAAAGCATTATTTGTGAATTCTAAACCTGGAAATCATATTAGCAGCCAATGAATATCAAAGTAACATACAACATTGTTTAAAGTCAACTAAATAGAGCTAATGTTGTTTTGAAGTCATTCTTGTGATGTAAGACTGATTGTTCAAATTAGCATAGTAAACAATATAGGGACCATTGAATGTGCTAATATAAAACCAACTTTACCCCAATCTTTTAAAAGATCTTCCAGATAAAGTTGTAGAAAGTTCAGAAAGCTGCAAAAACCTTTCAAAGGCTGGAAAAGTTACACTAAAAACGCCAGGTTCCACACAATTCCTTTATGTTGTTCTAACACAAATCAGTTAACCGTTTTTACAAATGTAAGGCAAGGCAAGTTTGTTTATATAGCACATTTCATACACAGTGGCAATTCAAAGTGCTTTACATTAACAGGAATAAAAGAAATGTGTAAGAAAAATAAAAACAAATAATAAAATGATAAAAAAACTGATAAAATGTGTTGAAAGAGTGAAGAATGAAAGAGATGAGATATAAGTAGATTGAACTTAAAACAATTAAGTTGTCACAAAAAACTCAAGAACTGTGGAGTTTTCATTTTTCTTCAGTTTAGTGTCTTCATTCATCAGTCACACACTCACAGCTGAATGAACCGCCAACATATACAGCAGGTGTTTTACACAGCAGATGCCCTTACAGCTGCAAGCCTGCAACCCAGTACTCTGAAACCTCCATACATTTTCATATGTGTACACACACACACACGCGCACACACACACACACACACACACACACACACACACACACACACACACACACACACACACACACACACACACACTACGGCCAATTTAGTGTATTCAATTCACCTATAGCGTATGTGTTTGGACTGTGGGGAAAACCGAAGCACTTGGAGGGAACCCCCACCAACACAGGGAGAACATGCAAACTCCACACTGAAATTCCAACTAGCCCGGCTGGGGCTTGAACCAGTGATCATATTGCTGTGAGGCGACAGTGCTAACCACTGAGCCACCGTGTCGCCTTCGTGTCATTTTAGCTCTAATAAGTAGGTTTAACAATCCTATTTTGTGTGTATTTGGGAAAGTTATTTGGATGGGATTTGATTTTAGAATGTTTGACAAATAAAGTAATTATTTTAAAAGGGTATGATGATTTCCTATTGGATCTACATCATAAAAACGCATATATTTGAAGCACCACACTCACAAAATTGTATTACTTGCCTTAAATTTAATTTAAAGATTAACATATTAATATTCATAAATACTTTGTCACTGCTGGATTTTTAAAAATTATAACAGGAGACAACTTTTATTTTTTTCTGTACCTTTTAAATCTGATGTAAAAAGATTAATTCCTCACTTTCTAAAATGCTGGGTTATTTCAACCCAATTGTGTGTTAACGACGTACTAATGGATTCCTTATTTTTTAAATTAAACCAAATGTCAATGTTATTTCACAAATGTGAGTTGATGTAACCCTGTCTTTTGTTTAGGTTTTTGTATTTATATATAACTAATAGAGGCCAAAATAAGTTATTGTATTTTTGCTATATTTTAGAGTTTTATATTGTGACATGTCTTTGTAATGACAGTGGTAAAGGTTTTATACAATTTTGAAACTCACTTAAATGTCTTTTCCGAAAATATATTGTTTAACATGCAAATTAAAAGTTTTTAACAAAATCAACAGAGCAGAGCTAAAGGTCCCATAGATACAGTTTGCAAGCCTACATAAGCTGAAAATACCCAAATAATACTTTCATTTTTTATCACAGAAGGGGTTTAAATAGTTTTATAAACTGCTAATAAATTTGGATCGTTCGAAAAGTTTGATTGCCATATTTAAAACTGCTCCTCCTTTTCTTCGTTTTGACCACTGAGTGGCAGCATTTAATAACATGAGGTGCTCCTGACAATTTACTGATGGTTATTGCTAAAGTTGTGACATTGTTTTCTTAAATATTATTGAATATTACTTGGTCACACACTCTCTTTTTTTAATTAATTTTTTTATTTTGTCAAATATGGACAAAACCATTGGGTTAAATGTCATTTTAAATTTCACTGAAAATGATATCAACATTAGGTTTGTCCATTTTTGACATATATATGTACATGTATATAGACAATATATGGTGTAATAACTACTGAACACCGTTATGCTTGGTGTGTGTGGTGTTTTTTTATTTTATTTTATTTTTTTGTTTTTTTGATAGTATATTCATATTTGTCTTATGCATTGTCATTTTCCTATTCAACAAAAGAGGGCAGCAAATGACCAGCTGTAAAACCCTTGAACCACACCAGTGTTACACTTGCTCGCATCCCTGCCTAAATTTCTGGACTGTTTCACAGTTTTAAGTATTATGGCCTTTTATACTCTATTCTTCATCTATGTTACAAGAAGCACTTTAGAAATAAAGATGAAGTGAATTGAATTTAGTAGAAGCAGATCTCTTCACTTAACAAGCAAATCCACACTTGAATCTTCAGATTGAAATGTAATTTACTTTATGTATAGTGTTTTAAAGAGATATTTGGTTATTGAGAAGTATCTGGCAGTACTATGACAGATCAACAGACTTTAAGTCTAATATTTTTTTAACTTTTCTTTTGTGTATTGTGGAAATAGAACAAATGATGAACAAAACATTGTAAATGAGTTTCCCCCTCTCTGTCTGTTTTGGCTGCATCTGGACAAACAGCTTAACTAATTAAGCTCAATTTGTGAGCAGCGAGAGGCCAGAGATGTGTGCTAATATCAGCTCTGGGTCTGACAGGCTTCTCATTCCTGCCAGCTTCTAACCTCTTCTCCATGGTTTCACGCCTGTTGCTTTTTGCCTCTTTGGAGGGAAGCCTCTGTGCTTGTGATTGGCTAAATCTGTTAGACACCACACCGTTTTGCTGCTTGTTTGGCTGCATGTTTTGGTGTTGTTTCAAATTTATTTTAAAAGTATGCAAGAAAAAAAATAATAATCTCATCGGTGCACTACGTATTAGTTAGAAATGTGTGGACATTACCAAACAAAACAAACACAACCAAAAGTTGTTTTTGATGTTCAATGGGAGCAGCCTGTAAATACTCGAATTGATTTAGTAGTATAGTGTACACTAAAGAGAAAAGCGCATGAATATTTTTTTACACAAGTAAAATTTCTTTAATGAGGGCACAGGTGTGTGAAGTGTTTATGGAGTGCCATGCAACACATTTGAATGCATTCTAGCCAAGAAAAACCGATGCCAACTACTATCTATTACAAAAAAAATCATAAATTAATCACTCACTACCCTTTGACAAGTCCGACAAGTCAAAACATTTTTGCGGCAGATTCTCTTCCAGCTGCACAAATTATATCTATTATTTTATTTATTACAAAAGATATAGAAATGGTTTCAAATGTTTTCAATAAATGTTTGTATACAAAAACATTTATTATTATTAATTTTGATAATATTAATAATAATAATAATTAATATTATTAAGTTATAACCATAAGTTGGTATAATAAGTATCCGTTATAGTAATATTAGTATTAGTAATAATAATGGTGAAATTAATTTTTAGTGAACTATTTTAAATTGTTCAATTTGTTTACTTATTGAACTGTACATACCCACTGCATATGGACATTTGTAATTATCTAGACACCCACTATAAATATACACTTGTAATCTAGTGCTGATTATTAATAGCAACCTGTACATATATTCATATATTGTTACATATACACTTGTAATCATGTTTATCTATCTGCACACTGCTGATTATTAATAGCAACCTGCACATATATTCATATATTGTTACATATACACTTGTAATCATGTTTATCTATCTGCACACTGCTGATTATTAATAGCAACCTGCACATATATTCATATATTGTAAATCTGCTCATAGCTTATCCAACCTGTATATAATGTTCATAGTACATCCATCTGTAAAATATCACCATAGTTTTTCTATAACTGCACTTTATAACTTATTCCTGTATCCTGCACTTGCTGCTATTGCACTGCTGGTTAGACCTAAACTGCATTTCGTTGCATTGTACTTGTACATGTGTAATGACAATAAAGTTGAATCTAATCTAATATTATTGTTATATACTTCTACACCATTAAAATTGCTTAAACAATATTATTCTTAACATTACGGTTTAATATTTACAGCTTTAATCTATTACTTCTTACTAATGAATAGGAATAATGAGAGTATTATTAATAATAATGATATATTAAAATAATTGTATTAACATTAATCTAATAATGACGATTATCAGTAGTTTGATCCTACTTACTTTACTTACTCCCAGGGCCATCAATCAAAGTTGATATTTAGCTGCACCATGTTGGTGTTTCGTAACATCAGATTTTCATGAAGTGGGTCGTTAGTCCAATGCTCAACCCCCAACCTGGAGGACCAGAACATACACTCATGCACTACGGACAATTTAGGTTACCCAATTGCCCTATTGACTTTATT